GACTGAAGGAAGAAAGAGGGGAAGGAGCCCGGGATTTCTTCTCTAGGACTAGGGAATGGCAACACTGCTGCTAAAATTGACCACTTAGTCTTTGTTTGTTTGTTTGTTTGTTTGTTTTTCCTATAGGGGCTGCTGTAAAAGTGGCTTCTAGCCAAAACTGCAGCAGGATATAAAATAAGGCTCTTTGATCTAAGCTCCTCCAGGAGCAGGTCACAGTGGAGGTCTCAGCAGATTAAAATAAGCTTTAGCCTGTTTATCTTATAAAGCTGACAGGTAGGTCCTGAATATGCTAATATATTTGTGAATCTATAAGAAAAAGGAAAGAGTAGAGATCATTCATTCATACAGGCTCAAGGGAAAAGGGGGGATGAAATTAAAAACTTAGACTTCAACTTTAACAGATTCCCACAAGCTTAGATATGATGATGATGTTGAATTCATCTGGCAGCTCCTCTGCAGAAACTGAAGCAAGTTTAGGCTTCTAGTTCCATAGTATCAGCCTATATATACATATGGACAAAAAATTACACATATAGACCTGTACATATTCATACACACATTCAATGGACGATACAAAACAAGCTCCTTACCTACAGACAGACAATTGATATACACTCATGTAACATGTACAAAAAAATAGACAGACATTTACATGTAGATATATCTACATACATATTTACATATTTACAACTCATGGATGAAGGAAATTCCATTAGGCTTTAACCTTTGTGGGATTCTGTTAACATTTATTGTCTGGTCTCAGTTTTATATTTCTGAGAAAAAGTAACCTCATAGTCAAAACAGCAATTTATCACAAAAACATATGAATTCTAAAATACAATAGGTTACATGTTTTAAAACTAAACATTTCTTACCTATGTATCCATTATATAAGTTCATAGTGAGTTCATAGAGTGACAAAGGTTGCCAAGGCCTAAAGATTAACAGGGTCTAAAAGTTACAAGACTATGTCATTTCAATTAGGACTGACCTGGCTACACATTTTCCAGCTATCTCTTAGTTTATAGTTAGTTCAGGACAGTCATTGTATCTGTCTTTTGTTTTAAGAAACAAAGTAAATTTAAAATGACAGTATATAAGGCCACAAGATGACAAAGTATAAGGAATTATGACAGAAAAGTTTGTATGTCTTTTGAAATTAAGGTTTGTACTTAATTAGACATTGTTTGGTAGTCTCAGAATTTGGGTTCATGGGGAGTTTAAACCAACTTGCCAAAATTTATGGTGCATACCAGGATACATGGTGATATCTGAAGTCACAAATCTTTTTCAAAGCTCTTTCTCTCCTAGTGAAGTTTATGTGTCAGTAACAAGTGAAAAATCACAAAATTCTTAGCAGATTTAGTTATTCTGCAGGAGGGGCAAGAATTATAAAATCATCCAAGTAATGTTTCTAAAAGAATCTTCCTGGCAAATAAAAGCAATCACGTAAGAGCATAGGCAATGAATAACATATAGATATTTATGTTATGTAATTTTTTGTGTGTATATGTAATATATGTATACACACATATATGAAGGATACAGGAAAAACAAGCATGGAAAGGCAATCAGGAGCAAGAAGCAACCTGAGATGAGCTACCTAGGGACTTTGCCTACTAGGCCACACCCATCACAGATATTGGAGCAGTGGGCACCTCCAGTTAGCTCTCTTGCTTGCCTCAAGTCCATTCCTGCATGATTGGCTCCTGATAGAATACAACAATATTTTAGAAATTATGTCATAGAAAATATTACAGATATATCATAAATCTTATAAATACAAGCAATAATGGAGACATATAGCAGGACTTTAAAGAAAATGCTCATAGGAAAAGAGGGGGACTCGGTATCTCAAAGGAATAGATTAAATAATAAATTATTGACTTTAAATTTTTAATGTCAGTGAGAAAGATAATACAGCTTCTGGAAAACACTGGGTTTTAGAAAGGACTGCTAAATTAGATCAAACTATGGATCTCTTAACTTCAGAATGGAAATCAGGGAATGTGTTGTGTTTGTCTCATCAGGAAATGAAAAAAAAAAAAAACTGTCGCTCAGAGCTTGGGAACAGCTCTGAGGCTGGCTGAGACATGAGAAAATGTTTCTACACAGCCAATAAATCTTGTTGGCTACAGAGTCCTCAGGACTTATCATGTCATCCTTTCCTATGGCATAGATGAAAACTATGTATTATAGTCCAGGCTGGCTTATGAAGAAAGACAGATGCCTTTCACCTGCTCAAGCAAAAAACAGAAAAATCATTTTTAGCTTAATTGTGCACATTGCACGTTCCATATACATGGTTATACAAAAATTTACATTACCTGTGAAAGTTTATATGTTCACAGAACAAAAGGACCCGACACCAAGGAAGTTGAAGTGACCCTGACAAGATTCATTATGAAGGATGCTGAAATGCTGAGATGTGTTTGTTCCAGCATCCTGCTTGATCCAATCATAGACTGCCTCTGTACTGTTTTCTAAAAAACTCTACATCTAAAACAATTTAAAATGTCTGGGTAGATCACCCAGCATCATGAAATGTTCCAACCAGGATTTCAATTAAGCCCTGCGCTTTCACAATTCACAGAGAATAGACACGGAGCACAATATTGCAAGGACATTTTTTTGAAAATAAAAATGATATTAATAAAACTTACACATTAAAAGTCTTTAATTGCCCCTTATTTAAGATATAAATACACATATATGAACATAATCTCAATATCTTGATATATGCATATTAATGTTAGTGAACAAACCTAAAATTATGAACAAACATATATTTGATCAATGAAATATTATTTCAGCTGTGGCTTGTTTTGGGAATTATACCTTTTGTTGTAAAAGAGAATTCTGTCATGTAATAAGAAAAATAGTAATTGTTGACACTGTTTAATCCTCTGTTCAAAGGCCAGACACTTTTTAAAACAACCATATACATAATCCAGATATCAAAACTAATGATAATTACATTTACATTCCTGATAAACTGTCAGTTCACAACAGCAATGTCAATTGGGTTTAAAGAAAATCATGGGCAAAAGGTAATGTAATCCAGCTTTAAATATCTGAAAGAAAAAAAAAAAAGAACATTATTCCCCAAATATGTAGTATCACTAAAGGCGCATAGCTAAAAAAACAGAATAAAAAAAAAAAATCTTCACAATACTCTGAACAATTCTCAAAGTATTGATGACTTTACAGTCTTAAAATTTTTAATATCTAATTTATTTTTTAATGCAAGCACAAGTAATTAATACCCTTAAACATGAGATGGGTCTACAGAATTCTTTCAGAAAAGCAAAACAGAGATAAATTTACTTAGAAAACAATCAACTCCCTATGAGTTCTTGGATGGATAATATATATCAGTAAAGAAATAACTGTTGGTATTAATTTAAGGTTAAAAAAACAAAATATATTAGTTCCTGCTCATTTCCTCCAAGTTTGGTGTCTGAAGAGCATGTTGTCTTCAGCAATAGTGTCTTGCCTTCAAATTTTGAAGGCCAACTAAGGGCCACAGGAATAGTGCAGATAATTGGGGGAAAATCTCTTTGAATCTCTTGAACAGTAACTCAGAGGAAGGGCTCAGATACCTGGCACTGAACTGAGGACTAGGTCTAAGAGTATCTAAAGGTGTGATATATGCTGACAAGGGGAAAAACAGTCAATAGTCCTACCCAGCTGCAAAATCTGTGAATGACAATGACCACCATTTCAATATATCACTAAGGGCACAATGATGGCACTTTTGTCTTGGGAACAATCAATGGCTGTCTAAGTGTTTTAAGGCCTGCATAATAGGCAGGAATTGATGCCTGATACTGTAAACCTAGCCAACCACCCATCCATGGCTGGTCAAGTCATGGAACCTAGAGAATAACTTACTACTTTCCCAAACCAGGAAACTTTCTCGCTCCATTCAGAATATATATTCTTATACTTACTGATAAGTGTAGATCTCAACATCATTAAACACACTTCTTTCCCAAGTAGATCAGAACCATTACAGAAATCCACAGCTGATCAAAATGCAGAGAACAAATGGTCATGGGTTACCCATCCCCAGTGACTACATACATGCTATAACTCCTACACCTTAGGGTCAGAGGACATCAAGAATGAAGCCTGAAAAGACTGTAAGGACCTGAAGACCAGATGTCTGCTGTGAGATAGTGTCTTCTTTATACGACAGGACATTGTACCCATGAAATTTCAAAACATGCCTGCCTAAACCAGACCTGAACAACAGTAACAATAGCAACATTTGCTATGTGGATAGCATAGCAATGTGGATATCCACATTGCCAATGTGGATAGAGGAAATCTCGCAAGGTCTCACACCTAGATTTAGAGTTATTGGCAATTAACAGCTACCGAGTATAGAAGAACTCTGTCTTCTCCTGAGGTGAGCCTTGTTAGGTTATCTGATCCCAAATAGTCAGCCCTTAAAGTAAATAAATATAAGTAATACTAAATAAACTAAATAGGCTTTATTTGCACATATATGTATATATATTAATATGTGCATATATTAAATTAGAGATCATGAATTTGAGACAGGTGGTGGAACACAAGAGTAGGAGGGAGGAAATTTGGATACAAATGATGTATATATGGTACCAATATAAAATTTTCTAAATAAGTAAATAATAGTAAAAATATGAAAAGATATCCCAAGGTCCCTACCAAATCAAGGTACAGGAGTAAGTTGGAGCCACATTCACACACAAGACAATTCTCCAGGCATGAATAAGTCCACACAATTGTAACAACATTCTATGCAGAGAGATGAAAAAAAATGTGACTATAGTTCATGGAGAAAGAGGTAAAGACATTAGAGTAGAAATATTCCATTCCCTGTCTATACATATTATAAAAAGAAAAATGCAGAGAAGGAAAGTGCATCGTAGAAGGAAGCTGATAGGGAAGAGAAGTGAAGAGAAAGAGCCAAATAGGAGACATGGATGATGTTGACAACCTTGCTAGTTCACTTAGACTGTGATTTTCTTCAGTGTCCTCTTCAAAGCAAGTTTAACATCCTTGTTCCTGAGGCTGTAAATGAGGGGGTTCAGCAAAGGCAGCAAAAAAGTGTAAACTACTGAGAAGAATTTCCTCTGAACCACAGACTCTTCAGATGATGGTTTGATATGAGCAAGCAGACCAAAACCGTAGAACAGGGCAACAGTTGTTATGTGAGAACTACATGTGCTCATGGCTTTGGACCAACTCTTAGATGATGACAAATGAATAACATTAACAAGAATCAAAATATATGAAGATACAATAATGAGGCTAGATAGCACAACAACTACAGCCACAGAAACAGAACTCACAAGCTCATTGATATGGCTGCTACCACAGGAGAGCTCAAGGAGGGGAAAAGTATCACACATATAGTGGTTGATAACTTTTGCATCACAAAACCTGAGCGTAATTATACATCCTGTGTGGACAATAGCAGAAGAGAGCCCCATCAAATGTACAGCAAGCATTAGAAGACAGCAAGCCTTAGGAGACATGATGAGTGTGTACAGCAGGGGCTGACAGATGGCCACATACCGATCATAGGCCATGGCTGTCAGCACGTAGCACTCAGAATTAACAAAAAGGCAGAAAAAAAACATCTGGGTCATGCATCCTGTGAAGGATATGGTGTTAGTTTCTGAGACAAAGCCCATCAGCATTTTGGGGGTAAATACAAATGAATAGCAGAAGTCAATGAAGGACAAGTTGAAGATAAAAAAGTACATTGGTGTATGAAGATGTGAATTCAGACAGATGAGACACATTAGGCTCCAGTTTCCCACCACAGTGGCTATATAGTTGAGCAAGAACAGGGCAAACAAGGGCAACTGGAGCACAGGCTGGTCTGTCAGTCCCGCAAGAATGAACTCAGACTCTGAGGAGGAATTTTCCTTGGTCATTTGCTTCATGTGTGACATCTGTAGAAACATTAATCAGAACCAGGTGATTTTAACAAGGGAGCCTAAATCTTTTTTTTCTTTTTGCTTATTCTTTTTAAAAAATCTTTATTAATTACACTTTATTCACTTTGTATCCTCCCTGTGGTTCCCTCCCTCCTCCCATCCCAATCCCTCCCTTCTTCCCCCCCTCTGCATGCATGCCCCTCCCCAAGTCCACTGATAGGGGCATCTTAACCCCAGAGAAAGGGTTGACGTATATTGGTTCCGATCTCAGGGTTGTCTAAAGAAACACAGCAAGGCATTCAAAGAACATGACTACCACTTTCTCTCTATGGCTCACCCACAGTGACTGACTTTGCCCTAAGATAATGCTGAGAAAAATGGCGCTGAACATTTCCCCATTCTTTGCCCTCCACTAATGATTTGAGCTAAAAAAAAACCAATCCAGATCCTATGATTTATATTGCTTTGTATTTCAAGGGAAATTACCAAACATGGGTGATTCAGGGCTTACCTTTTTTCTGGATGCTTCAGTGCTGTTGAATCATCTGAGTCTGATGATAAGTGAGTTAACACGCATCAGAATATATCCAACTCTGACCTTCTAAAACAGGTACACTGGGGACAGTGACACAATTTCTATTTAAGAATTTAGCTAGATTTTTCTTCTTACCTACTTGAAGGGGGAACAAAACATGCATGAAGTTACAAAGATCACCTAATTCAAATTACATACTATCTTTTGGACAAGCACAAAAAAGTTATTCTCACCTTTATGACTTCCTCCCATATTGCAGGAACCCCTTAACGGTAGAAATTTCTGAGCCTATTTACAAAAGATACCAGAAACTTAACATTGGATCTTTGGGGACTGGAAGGTCTACCCAATTTATAGTTTACCTCCAGGAGTACCTGGTTCCTAGGGCAGAGATCTATGTGGTCCTTTGTGAATTTTTCCATTATGTAAGAACAAATCTAATAAAGAACAAATCTAAGAAAAGCTAAGGATATAATGACTTGCCATTTCCTAAAATCCTCTGGGACTTCATTAATAAATATATAATACCTTAATTTTCAACAGAAATTTTGTGAAGAATAGATTTAAAAAATAAAGCACTTTAAGTCCTTCTGAGCTTTAATCCATGTTGTGATATTTCTTACTATGAAGGTGTAAGAAGTGACGTAACTTACCTGATCTTTATTTGTATTTGTAACTCCATATTCTACTGTGCATCTGAAATAAGGTTCATAAAAGATAGTTTGGACTTGAGGTTTTTTTTATGCAAGGTGATAGATATTGATAGATTTTGTTTCTTCTACATGCTGACACTCTGTTAGACCAGCATCGTTTGTTGAAGATGGAATCTTTTTTGGCTTATTTGTCAAAAATTTGGTGTTCATAGGTGTGTAGATTCACTACAATTAGATTCCATTGATCAAACTGTCTGGTTTTAATGCCAATACCATGCAGTTTTTATTAGTATTCTTCTGTAGTGCAGCTTGAAATCAGGGATGGTGATACCTTCAAACGTTCTTTTATTGTATAGAATTGTTTTAGCTGTCTTGAGTTTTTCATTTTTTTATGTGAAGTTAAGGATTGCTCTTTCAAAGTTTGTAAAGAATTGTGTTGGAATTTTGGTGGGAATTGCATTGAATCTGGAGACTGATTTTGGTAATATGGCCATGTTTACTATGTTAATTCTACTGATCCATGAGATGGGAGATCCTTCCATCACTAATATCTTCTTCAATTTCTTTCTTCAAAGACTGGAAGTTCTTGTCATACAGTTGTTTCACTTGCTTGGTTAGAGTTACACCAAGATATTTTATATTATTTGTGATTATTGTGAATGGTGTTGTTTCCCTAATTTCTTTTTCATCCCATTTGTTGCTTGTATAAAGGAAGGCTACAGATTTTTTGAGACAATTTTTTACCTACCCAGTTTGCTGAACGTGTTTATCAGCTTAGGAGTATAGATCAAAGACATCAACATAAAACCAGACACGCTAAATTCAATAGAAGAGAAATTGAGGAAAAGCCTTTAACTCATTATTACAAGAGACAACTTCTGAACAGAACACCAGCAACTCAGGCACTAAGATCAACAACCAATAAAGGGGACCTCATGAAACTGAAAAAATTCCGCAAGGCAAAAGACACTGTCAATAGGACAAAACAGTAGCCTACAGGATGGCAAAAGATATATATATATATATATTCAAGAAATGAAACACCAACAAACCAAACAATCCAGTTAAAAAATTAGGTACAGAGCTAAACAGAGAATTTTCAACAAAGGTATCTCTAATGGCCAAGAAGCGCTTGAATAAATGTTCACTGCCCTTGGTTACTGGGGAAATGCAAATTAAAAGAAATTTGAGATACCATCTAACACCCATCAGAATAGCTAAAGTCAAAAACTCAAGTGACAGCACATGCTGGTGAGGATATGGAGCAAGGGGATTCCTCCTCCATTGCTGGTGGGAGTGCAAACTTGTACAACCATTGTGAAAACCAATCTGCAGGTTTCTCAGAAAATTAGGAATAGATCTATGTTAAAAACCAGCTTTACCTAGAACCCTGACAATGAAGCCACTTCTGATGAGAACTGATAGACCAAGATCAGAAAGAAGGAGAGGAGGACCTCCCCAGTCAGTGGACATGGGGAGGGGCATGCATGCAGAAAGAAGGGGGAAGGGTGAGGCCAGGAGGAAAGGAGGGAGGGGCTTATGGGGGGATACAAATGAATAAAGTGTAATTAATAAAAGTTATATATAAATATATATATATATATATATATATATATATATATATATTTACCACTCTGGTCATATATTCAAAAGATGCTCCATCATACCACAAGGACATTTGCTCAACTATGTTCATAGCAGCTTTATTCATGGTAGCCAGAAACTAGAAACAAACTAGATGTCCCTCAATCTAAGAATGGATAACGAAATTGTGATACATTTGGATAACATAATACTATTAAGTTATTAAAAATAAACATATCATGCAATTTTCAGGCAAATGCATGGAACTCGAAAAGATCCTGAGTGAGGTAACTCTGACCCAGAAAGACATTCATGGTATGTACATACTTGTAAGTGGTTATTAGCCATAAGGTACTGGATAACCATGCTATAATCCACAGACCCAAAGAAACCACAGAGGGCCCAAGAAGGGATGTTTGAATCTCACTCAAAAGAGGAAATAAAATAGTCATCTGAAGTAGATGGAAGGAAGGATATGGGTGGGAGATGAAGTGGGGAGGATAACAGGGGTGAGGATCAGGTGAGGGGAGACTAGGGTTAGGAGAGGGAGGTCTGGGAGAGAGAACAGAAACCTGTGATGGGGCATCTCTGAGACAGGGGAAGCTCCAGAGAGTCTCTGGTAGTGACCCTACCTGAGACTCTTAGCACTAGGGGATATGGAGCTTGAAGTCTAAGTCTGCACTTTGTATAGCCAGGTGAGACTTCCAGTGGAGGGAGGGAGACACAAACCCACACATAAAACCTTTGCCCCAAAATGTGTCTCACCTACAATGAGTGTAGGGATGAAGTTGTAGCAGAAATTGAGAGAACAGCAAGCCAATGACTGGCCCAATATGAGACCCACCCCATGGGAGACACTATTAATGATCCTCTGCTATGCTTGCAGACAGCAACCTAGACTGTCTTCTGAGAGACTTCATCCAGTAGCTGATGGAAACAGAGACCCACAGCCAAACAGTAGGCAGCTCATTCAGGATGATCTTTTTCAGTTCCTACCATTTACCTACAAATTTCATGATTTCCTTGCTTTTTATTGCTGAGTAGCATTCCCTTGTGTAGATGTACCATACTTTCTGTACCCTTTTCTCACTTGAGGCACATCTCAGTTGTTTCCAGCTTCTGGCTATCACAGATAAAGCTGCTACAAACATGGTTGAGCAAATATCCTTATTGTGTACTTGAGCCTCTTTTGGATATATGCCTAGAAGTGGTATAGCTGGATCTTGAATCTCTATTCCTAGTTGTCTGAGAAAGCGCAAGATTGATTTCCAGAGTAATTGTACAAGTTTACATTCCCACCAGCAGTGGAGGAGGGTTCCCCTTCCTCCACAACCTCTCCAGCATGTGTTGTCACTTGAGATTTTGATCTTAGCCATTCTAATGGGTGTAAGGTGAAATCTCATGATCATTTTGATTTGCATTTCCCTGATGACTAATGACATTGAACATTTCTTTAAGTGTTTCTCTGCCATTCAATGTTCCTCTATTGAGAATTCTCTGTTTAGTTCTGTTTCCCATTTTTTAATTGGATTGAATGATTTGTTGCTTGTTAACTTCTTTAGTTCTTTATATATACTGGATATTAGCCCCCTGTCAGATATAGGTTTGGCGAAGATCCTTTCCCAATCTGTGGGTAGTCATTTAGTTCTAACAACAGTGTCCTTTGCTTTACAGAAGCTTTTCAGGTATATACTCTCTCATATAGACATATAATATAGGATAAACCTACTAAAATCTGTACCCCTAAAGAAACTAATCGAAAGGGGAAACTCTGGCTAAAATGCTCAATCCCCATCCAGAAAGGCGAAGAGGATGGACATCAGAAGAAAGAGAAATGAGGGAACAAGTTAGGAGCCTCCCACAGAGGGCCTCTGGAAGGCTCTGCCCTGCAGACTGTCAATGCAGATGCTGAGACTTATGGCTAAACTTTGAGGAGATTGCAGGGAATCTTATGAAAGAAGTGGGAGTTAGTAAGACCCGGAGGGGACAGGAGCTCCACAAGAAGAGCAACAGATCCAAAAAATCTGGGCACATGGGTCTTCCCTGAGACAGATAGTCCAACCAAGTAGCATGCATGGAGATAACCTAGAACCCCTGCACAGATGTAGCCCATGACAGTTCAGTCTCCTAGTGGGTTCCATAGTAATGGGAACAGGGACTGCCTCTGACATGAACTGATTGGCCTGCTCTTTGATCACCTCCCCCTGAGGGGGGAACAGCCTTACCAGGCCACAGAGGAAGACAATGCGGACACT